TTTTGTGTCTGGTGTTCAGCTTTAATATAAACCTAAAATGGGATGCTTGGTTCAATGTCCCATCAACAGAAAGATTTATAAAATATCCACAGGGTCATTTGCTCTGCAAATATCTGTGAATGTTCGTTCTGCGCAGATATATGCCGAAACTAACATTCTTTAGGTGTTTCTTTAGAATGGAATGTATTTTTGAATGTTTATTTCCATGTAATACCACATTATGGCCACTAGATGCTGCTGGTGAGCATAGAAAATAAATCCTTATTGCCTATGCTTCTGTAGCTCCATCTAGTGGCCATAACGTGATATTACATAAAAACTTTTGAAAATTATTTCCACTTGTAAAGAAAAAAAACTAACAGGGTTATTCACAAAAGGGTGAAGAGTCTTGACAAGTGAACAATCTAGGTCAACATAGCTGAACTGGGAAGTGAGCTGAATTGGAGAATTATTCCAAATCAGCTATGTAGTCATAGATTGTTCACTTCTCCTGCCTTCTCAAAACTCTTCACCCTCTTGTCAATAACCCTGTCGGTTTTTGTTTCTTTACAAGTGGAATTAATTTTCAAAAGTTTTTATGTAATATCACATTATGGCCACTAGATGGAGCTACAGAAGCATAGGCAATAAGGATTTATTTTCTATGCTCACCAGCAGCATCTAGTGGCCATAATGTGGTATTACATGGAGACAAAAAACATTTAAAAATACATTCTCTTCTAAAGAAACACCTAAAGAATGTTCGTTTTGTCATATATTTGCACAGAGTGAATCATCACAGAATTATTTATAAAAAAGACCCCCTTAAAGTGAACCTGTCCTTTCCTCTTGTAGAGCAAAACAGGTTATTTTTAATGTTTGCCCCATTAGCTGCACATACAAACCTTCATTCGCCACCCCGTTCGCCCACTGGGAACAAAGAGAGAACTTCTCATGTAGGTTCCTTGTTGTGATATGGAGCTTACACAAGGCTGGCTGGGGACTCTCTCCCTTCTCCCACAGCTTCCCATATGACAGCATTAGGTGCCAGACCCAGGGCTGGCTTTCCCACAAGGCCAACCAAGGCCCGGCCTCGGGGCAGCAGGGAGTAGAGGGGCAGCAGGGGAGTAGAATTCCTATCTCCCGATGCCAGGAAATGCAGTTCCTAGGTCCCGACAGGCAGTTGTTTTCTACATTTCGCCCTGCTTTGGGCAAGCAGAGCTAAATGTACAGCGGGGAAGCAGCCTCAGACCCAAGGTGGCCACTGTCTGACCCGATTGAACCCCTTGGTCAATAAACAGACAATTGAGGGCGTCATGATTTGAAAGTGCATTTTTATTTGTCATTATTTTTGGCACACGCGTGTCTACAACGCCCAAATCTCCGCCTCCCTTCACCAAGCACCGTGCACTTCCACGGGCGTCGTACAAACGTTTCTACAACAAAGCCGCCACACATGCAAAAAAGTTTATCTAGCAATCCTAATACACATGATTTTTTTTTTCTCTTTTTAAGACATGGGTTTGGCTTGTGGTATTTTATATAGCTTGAAAATGTGTAAACATATGGTATCCTGGTTCCTCGCAACAGTCCATCGCCAACCGCTAATCCTGCACACGTAAAAATAAATAAAATCAATGAACGTTTTCCAAAACGCAGACTAAACTTCCACCAAGGGGGAGGGGCCAAGCCTCGGAGGAGGTCAGCCTCCGTCCGTACACAGGTCTCCGGAAACCCCCGAGGGTAATTTGTCGGAAGTTTAACATTTAATTTTTTTTGTATTTTTGTAATTTTTTAAATTTTTACATCATAAGGATAGAGCTCAACGCTACATTCTTTCGTTTTCAAACAAGATCGGTTTAACATTCCAGTGCACTGTGACGGCTGACGCCGGTCGAAATCCACTTGCTATCATCGCTTTATATACAACAGGCAAATAAGGTTCAGTGAAAGATACGTCGATTGTCTCCCGGCTTCATGGGAGCCCGTCAAGGCGAAAGACGCCTCCTCTCCTGACAGCTCTTCATCTTGTCAGGAGGGCTGGTGGGAGCAATCCATGGGTTCACAATGTAAAATTCCTGCGCAAGCAAAACACAAGCACAAAGTGTCAGCAAATGATCTCATTATGTCCTACGTTATGTGCGCTGCATCGCGTCTCTGTAAACCGCCAGAAAAATCAGAGCACCCCAGGCTTTCCTTTTCTAACCATAAAATATGTGCTGTGCATTTGGAATGTTCTCATTAAGGTTCTTTCTTTTAGCGGCTGCTGTGGGTACTTAACAAAATGGCTTCCGGATCACTCACGTTGCAGCTTACAGCAACCTCAAAGAAGCCGTGGATTAAGGGATCTCTGAATATAAGGGTGGAATGTAAAGCATATGCAAACCCAATCACTAAAATCTCATATAAACTTTAAAGGGTAAGTGCACCTTAAAACAAAGTGCACTTATTCTTTTCCCCCAACCCTGGACCTAAAGGATCCCAGACTCCTCCTTCACAGATCTATACTTACCGAGATCCAGAAGGCACAGATCCCCTATTGTGTACATCCGGTGCTCCCTCTGCTGGCCACACCTGCACATTACAGCCCCATAGACATTTCCCAGCTGGTAGACGGGCATGGCTAGGAGAGGGAGACTTGCAGCACTGGAGGTCAACAAACAGTGGAGCAGTATCCCTCAGATCTTGGTAAGTAAAGATCTCTAGAAGGCGAGGGTGGGATCATTTAGGTCCGGGGAGGGGGGCTGGGTTATTTGGCTAGGAAGTGACCTACCACCATATGGAAAATAGTGGCCAAATACTCCCCCCACTCCCCACCCAGTTTGGCATGGACGCCTCTACCATACCTCCCAACTTTCTTGAATGAGAAAAAAGAAGACCCTAACTAAATGATCCCGGCCTCCTCCTTCATAGATCTATACTTACCGAGATCCAACAGGCACAGATCCCCTATTGTTTACATCTGATGCTCCCTCTGCTGGCCACACCTGCACATTACAGCCCCATAGACATTTCCCAGCTGGTAGACGGGCATGGCTAGGAGAGGGAGACTTGCAGCACTGGAGGTCAAAAAACAGTGGAGCAGTATCCCTCAGATCTTGGTAAGTAGAGATCTCTAGAAGGTGAGGGTGGGATCATTTAGGTCCGGGGAGGGGGCTGGGTTATTTGGCTAGGAAGTGACCTCCTACCATATGGAAAATAATGGCCAAATACTCCCCCCACTCCCCACCCAGTTTGGCATGGACGCCTCTACCATACTTCACAACTTTCTTGAATGAGAAAAAAGAACCAAACTAAACAACCCCAGCCTCCTCCTTCACAGATCTATACTTACCTAGAACCAACAGGCACAGTTCCCCTATTGTTTACATCCGGTGCTCCCTCTGCTGGCCACACCTGCATATTACAGCCCCATAGACTTCTATGGAGCCATTTCCCAGCTAGACCGGTATGGCTAGGAGAGGGAGACTTGCAGCACTGGATGTCAACAAACAGCAGAGCAGTGGCCCTGAGATCTTAGTAAGTACAGATCTCTAGAAGGCAAGGGTGGGATCATTTAGGTCCGGGGGGGGGGGGGGGCTGGGTTACTAGGAAATGACCTACTACAGTATGGAAAATAATGACCAAATACTCCCCCCTCCCACTTTGGCATGGACGCTTCTACCATACCTCCCAACTTTCCCATACCAATGAGAAAAAAAGAGAACCTAACAGTGTAGATAAAGGAAATACTACATCCCCAGTTAGGCAGACCACGAAGGGCCAATATGCAAAAATGTTTGGCTAAAGGAGAACTATGGAGTCAGGGCTTTTCCCCATAGTTCTCCTAAGGGTAATGGGAGAACACAAACTAGCGCCCTCCCGTCACCCAAAGCTCACTATACCGCGAGCTACAGCTTACGGTATACTGAGACGTTGCAGCCGGGACGGATCCCGACATTACTGTCTGGATCCACCCAGCTGTGTGAATGACAGCTGGCTCTGCCTATCTAGAGGCAGAGCCAGCTATAACCGCCCCCTCCCCCGTCCATTCCGCCAGTCAGCGCTGGAGGATCGGAGCGGGGGGAATCCCTGCAGGGAGCCGTGAGTGACAGTCACGGCTCTCTGAAGGGACAGGATCGAGAAGTGAGCGAGCGACGGTATGTGTTCGCTCACTTCCCGATCTATTGAGCCGACGTGTGACAGTTTCATTGTCACGGGTTGGCTAGAACTATGAGGCCGACTGATTTTCACTTGCCTCATAGTTCTCCTTTAAACCCGCAAACGCTTTTTCACTTTTTTGCTTTATACTGACTATAGATCTATACATCTAACCAAAAAGGGGAACCAACGAGGAGGAAAAAGGGACAGAATATGGTGGGTTCCAAAAGAAGGACAGTTCCTCCAAATGAAGGACAGTTGGGAGTTATGCTTTACTGATGGGTATGGAACTCATGAAATAGTAAACCGGGAAATACATTTTACTACCCAAAGGCTGTAATACCTTTTTTATTAGAAGTGATACTTACTCTAATTCTTCATGTCAGTAGATGTACAAATAAGATGGAAAGGCCGATATTCAATAAAATGACCATGCATATCATGATCGTATCTGGTCTCTGAAACAGAGAAAATAACATAGTTAGTGCCACATGTGTTAGCAAGGGACACCTCACTGTAACAAAAAGTGATAATGGCCACCACCACAGAACTCCAAATTGGATTACACCACCGCTGTGGGATGTCTATAGACAGTTGTGTTTGCTGATAATTGAGTCAGAACCCCCAACAATTCCCTTTTCATATGACTTCTAATTCATCATGGAACGGTTATATTTTGGAATACACTTAAATTAAACCATGGCTTGAAAAATTAGCAAAAATGGCCTGCATGTGGTGTAATTAATCCCATGAAGATCAGTTACTGAAGGTGCTTTCTTCCATATAAAGGAGGACCAGGCCTGACTAGTTCTGAACACGCTAAAGTAGTGTGTAGAAGAAGGTCAGACCACCCGCAGCAACTATTGGTTGTCTAGAGCTTTTGCAAGTTTGGTCATATAGACTGTTGGTCACACCCAAGACTCAAACATTTAGTACCCTATCTGGAGTGGACTTCATAGAGGACATTAGATGTGGTTGCACTATGATTGAGAATTCCCTGTCTTGGCAGACATATGCTCACTCCTCCTGCTGCACAAAAGGAGTCTCATGCCTTCTCTATACCTAATGTTAAAAAAAACGAGTGAAAATTTCCCTGTTGGTTAGCAAGTTGGTGAAGCTGGCCACCAAAGTGCAGAGATGGTGTTGCTGGAACTCTGAAAAGTATAAAAACTTGGTGGATTATTAAGTGCAAGCATCTACCCAACACGGAGGTATCGGTTTTGGGTTACCCGATCCTTTATCAGTCATCATGATACCGACCTCTTCAATTTCTTCTACTTTGGCAGCTGGCTCAGCTTTGGCACCCTTCCTAATTATGCTTTTGGTGTCAAACTTAACCAACGCCTTGGACTCGGTCTTGGTTGCAGGTTTGGGTTCTGATTTTGGGGGAGCGGGTTTGGCCACCGCTTTGGGTTCCGCTTTTGGGGGAGCCGGTTTCTGAACAACCTTTGGTTCAGTTTTCTGGACAGTCTTAGGCTCAGCTTTTTGGACAATCTTGGTCTCCGTTTTAGCTTCAACACTTGGCTTTTCCACTTTCACTTCCTTATTCTCTTCACTCAGCTTAACTTTCTTGATGGACTCTACAGCGGTCTTCTTTTCTTGGACTTTTTGAGATGGTAGAACATCTTTCGACACCTCTTTCAAATCTGGTGTTGCAGCTTGTGGTGGTGGGAATGCTTTTTCTTCTGAGTCCAGTGGAGGATTCACTGGGGAGGTCCGCACAGCATAGCTGTGATAGCCTTTATGGAACTCAACATCCAAATCGGATGGCTTTTTGTCCAACCTCTGAAGTGGTTTCATCTGGTTCTCATATTTTCTGTTCAAGTCAGCTCTGTTGCTTGTCTTGGTTGGGCTGCTGGATGGGCTGGCGGATTGGCTTCCACCACGTCTGTCTCCATTCCAGTTTCTAGCAGTAATCAGCCTTTCCTTCTGCGAGCTTGTTTTAAGTTTCTTGGCTTCAGGTGGTGTCCCAGGTGCAGGGGATGGGGTTCGTAGTGGGGAAACATCTTGAGAGGAGGGTTGGTTTTCAGGGAGCTGAGGGCTCTCACGAGGTGTTTGAACTGGCTGTTCCTTGGTTGCAGTTGGTTGCTCTCTTATCTCCATGGGTTCAGCATTTTCGATAATTTCCTGCATCAGTTTTCTCTTGATATACTCTGGGCCTAAAATAGGGAAATACATTTTTTTTTAGGTTTTTGTAGATTTTAAAAACGGTACAAGCAAAGTCAACAATTGTAGACACCATATGTTTTGAACAACAGCTGTATGCAGTTTGTTATACATGGCTCTATAATATTAGGCTGTATCTGTGCCATGCACCAGCAGTTCCAGATGTACAGTACGCAAATGAGGTGAAAAGGAATGATTTACATGGCTCCACCCACCTATCCTGTAATGAGGAAAAATCCTCTTATTTTTGGGATATGTAATGGAATGAGACATGTAAATACCTTCCGTTCTAACAGGCTCTACTGTGCTATCAAAACAGCTTTAAAGAGACCCTGTCATGTTGCCCATGCAAGCAAAGTGACAGTGTATCAGACAAAAGACATCCCCTGACCACTATATGGCCATACGGTGTAAGATAAGTACCTTACCTGTGCTTCCCCACCACTCCTTCCTCCTTTGCCGGTGGGAGTGATGACTTCAGTCCCCCAATCAGGTGACAGTGCTCAGGTTTAGCAACTGGTTGAGAGGCCCAGTCGCCATCACAGGGGAGAAGGCCATGTGCTTCTCCATACCCAAAAGTGGCAGCCAGAGTAAAAGAACAACTCCAGGATTAGCCCTTGCAGAGGGGCTACCCCCACACTGCAAGGGTTAACTGCTCGTTTTGTCTAGGGGGTAAAAATACAGAAGAAATTCTCACCCTATCCTCGCTGCTAGACCAGTCCTCTTCTTCCCTGGGCACTGACGGTCTAAGGACCTGTGACATCATCACAGCCAGAGTAGAGGGGGAGAGAGATGAGCAATCACTGCTACAAAACCGAGGATCAGGTGAATATTTCTTCTTTATTTTCGCCCCCTAGACAAAACAAGCACTTAACCCTTGCAGTGAAGGGGTAGCCACAATGCAAGGGTTACTTTTTAAAAATCAGACAGTAAAGGAGCAGCCGAATACTAATGAGTCATCCCTCTGCTCTACCTGTACCTATCAACATGTTCCTTGCTGGCTAATGTGCATGCATGACACCCGATAGGTCCTAGTGGGGTCCCTCCCTCTATTATTGCACAGGGGATGACCAGAGGCTGATAAGTCAGATTTAATCACTTACATTAGTTGCATTTAATGAATACATTTAATTATGTTGTAATGAATACATAACTGCATTCATTGGTGTATTTTTGTTTCTACCTAGACCAGTTTTAATGGGGCCTCTGACAATGCTGTAGCCCTGACTATAATTCCCCATGCCTCATATTATACAGTGTCTGCATGCACAAATAATGGGAACAGCGCAGCCCACTTTCGCTGACAAAATTACAGCTGTGAAGAGATCGGGGAGATATAAAAGTAATGCCTTGCAATACCGCATCTCGCCCTGTTTGCGCAAGCTTACAAAAGCTGAGCTGTGAGTGGGAGACTGCTGTGTGTTTGTCTGATCAAACATAAAGGGTGCTAAAATAGCACATAAAATGGGAATACGGCACATAATGGAGCGGGAAGACAGATCTGATAAAAGCCGCCGATAAATAAAACATGTCATTTCCACATACAAAGGAAAAGCAGGGGCTGGGAATACTAAAACGCAAGCTTTGCTAAATAGATGAAACAATTACATTGCAAGGTAACTGACTTAGAAGCTCCAGGAGCTCCTCACTTTTAGAAGGAGATTTAAAAGGTAACACCGACTGAATGGCAAAATGTGCACACACCTATAGGAAATGTTTTGATGGGATTCACCCAGAACATGCTATAGTGCAGTTTAGCAGAAGAACATGTTTTCCAGAACCTGCAGACAGGGCCGTATTTACTCTCTCTCCGTCCCCAAGGCCAGGTTCTTCAATGCGCCCCCCTGCCAGCCAAGTGCATGTGTCTGAGATCTAAGGGGCCTGCTTTGGGAATTACCATGTTTTGTGTGTGCACCAGTTAATACCAGTTCATCAATTTTTGGATTCATAGACGTACTGCTAATAGTCCATTAAACTCAATAGAGACGACAACGTTCCATTGTTGGCACACCAGTTGTCTTGTGAACATGACACTTTATGTGAAAAAGATGCTGACCCCTGGTGTAGACATTATGCCCTCCCCTGCCAGCAGTGATGACTCATCAGAGGAGTAATGCTCCATTCATTGCCCACCCAGCAGGCTGGGCCAGGTTGGTGACCAAACAGTGTTGCATTTCTGCAGTGCTGAAAAGTCACTAACCTGACCAACTTGCCTGGCAGGTGTGCCTGGATCTCAATAGAGTTTAACATCTCTTGGCAGGTCATATAGTCAACACTTTGTAAGGTTGTTTGGGAGTTCATCTTAATGTTGGGTACTGTTACATATCTGTGGCTGGCCTACCTGGCTGGTAGAAGTCCGGGGAGAGCTCTCTTGCCATCATCCTTGCAATGGTGGACTCATTATTAGCTGCCTGGGCCGCCTGTTCTGCTCCGTCTGCTTTGGCTTTGGCATGTGTAGTCCTGAAGGAAAAAACATATGTGCACTTTGAGTTACAAGGGCAGTGTGTCTTTTAGATGGTTAAAGCAAAAATGACACTAGCTCCACCCAAGTCTAAATCCAACCAAAATGTCCTTGCTCTACCCAAGTCCAAATCAAACCAAAGTTTCTTTATCTCCACCCAAGCCCAAATCCAACCAAAGTTTCTTTATCTCCACCCAAGCCCAAGTCCAGCCAAAGTTTCTTTATCTCCACCCAAGCCCAAATCCAGCCAAAGTTTCTTTATCTCCACCCAAGCCCAAATCCAACCAAAGTTTCTTTATCTCCACCCAAGCCCAAATCCAATCAAAGTGTCCAGTCATCCTGCACAAGGGTGCATTTATTTATTTAGTTATTTTTTGTATTATTTTTATTTTATTGTATTTATTATTATTATTATTTATGAATGTATCTATTTGTTATTGTTTCCTATTTATTTATTTTTATACCAGAGCCCTCTCCCATAGCATATTGCTCAGTATTGACAAACGCCTTTACAGACCACCAGAATCTCATTCGATAAAATAAAGAGAGAACTATACGACGATAATTTCCCGTCTGACATGTTGTTCTATGTACACCACGTATTCTATTTCATTTTTCTATCAAAGGCTTCCCCTTTCCATGGTAACTGAACAGGTGATCGGTAATGTAACATATATATTTATGTCTCGGCTTTCTCACCCCCCGGCACCGTATAATAAACCTGCTAAACTGCTGTAATTGGATCCTGTAAAGAAATGCGGATAAAGATTTCTCCGAGCAGAGGCAGAGCGGAGCGGCCATGACAAATATAGGCAAGGAAGGCCTCTGTGACAGATATATATCGATGCTTTTATTGGGGACAACTGCTTTTAATAGAGCGCGGGAGCAAATTTATGACATTTTGCAAACACATAGATCAGAATATATATAGAAAGTTAAAGTGCAAGGGACGGGGCTCCGGGGAATAATTATATATATATTGAAGGTTGGTGAAATCTTAGCTGTCTATAGAAAGTTCAAGGAGATGAAACCCCAATCAGTGAAATCTCATATAAGCATTATTGTCACTTCACAAGGTTTCAATCTCCTAAAATCTACAGCTTTTAATATAATAATATGTGGTGATCCGGCCATGAAGGTCCTTGTTTAGGCACTTCCTGTTATAGGTTGACAACCTGTTATCCTATCAGCCTGTCCCGTGACCTTAATGGAGACTACAATCTAAAGGGTATATTTGGAAATATACCAATATTTAGAATAAACCACATTTTCAATAAAAGTCCTCTTTAACTCCTCCTTCCCTCAGCTATTATTTTATAATCATTTTATAATTATATTAATTCATTTGTAAAATGCACACAATTTTAAAAGCCTTTTAATTCCATTGGGTATATATTGGGTGACTCCAGTGCCGATTTGGCACTGGGGTCACCTATCAAAAGCTTTAAGGTTACAGCCCCTAGGCCACTAACCATCTGGAAGGTTACTGGTGCCCCAGGCCACTGAACATCTGCAAGGTTACAGGTGCCACAGGACATTGAACATCTGGAACGTTACAGGTGCCCCAGGCCACTGAACATTTGGAACGTTACAGGTGCCTCGGGCTAAACATCTGGAAGGTTATTGTTCCCCTAGGCCATGCAATAGCTGGAAGGTTACAGGTCCACTGGGCTGCCCAACATCTGGAAATTCACAAGGTCCTCTGGGCCACCCATCCTTTGAAGGGTTACAGATCCCCTGGGCCACCCAACAGCTGAGATGTTACAGGTCACCAGGGCCACCCAGAAGCTGGAAGGTTACACATATGGGGACACCCAACCTCTGAAAGGTTTCGGACCACGCACTATCCATACTGTCAGGCCATAGTAGTACTTTCTTACTTCTAGTTATAAAGGTGGTAGCTCAAATACTGAACATGGACTAGCCAGGTAGCAGCAGCATTTTGCTCCAATGTGAAGATTAGAGGCAGGAAACCCAGCTTGTTCTGAGCTAAGTATACACCGCCAGCTGTTGTCTGTCCATATCGGAGGTTAAATGCTGCGAAGGACATTATAGAAACGGAGCAAAGAGAAAAAGGCATCGCATTTCTACAGAAATACCCGCGTACCTCAAAGGATTATGGTAAACGTTCTGCAGAACTCAAAGAATGTGTGCTGAGACATTCTTAAAATGCTGAAACCTAAACCCTTGACTTAAATAACCTGCTGCCACCGTCTGTGAGGTCGGCCACAACATGTGAAAAATAAAAATGGGAACATGTTTATAGCTATGGAAATTTAGAAAGTTGAAGGATCATGGATATATAGTATGGACCTAATTTATCAGGGTGGCTTTTCCAGATGTCCTCGGCAGTCCGTTAGTATATATCACATAGGCAATATTTGAAAGTGCTAAAATATGTCCATTAACATAGTGCTGAATACCTGAAGTCCTTACATAACCCCCATGTGCTGTATAGTGTGTATCATACACCACCATTCAAATACTTTTATCCAAATTACACACACGGTATACAGTATATACTGAATATGAAAATGTAAGGAATTATTGGATCAATGTGATAAGCCGTTATTCTTCAAATATGTCCATCGGTCAGTGATGTATAGATTTTGTCTTCAGAGCTCTAATTAATAAAGTATCAATCACCAACACCAAGGGGTCAAAAAAATCACCAAATGAAACAATTAGGTATCAATGGAATTTTGCCATGACAAGATATAGGGATAATTTTAGTAAGGACTGCTTCTAAGTGGAGTGGCCAAACTGTTAACCCCTTCCCCTCCGATCCTGACATTCTCACCCCAGTATATGCATACAGTAAATAACCTCTCCTAATGTAAACCTACTCTAGGGTCCTTAGGTGTCAGTCATATGACCAGATGCCATAGTATCAGTCACGCAATGTCACTCAAGTGGAGGATCAGAGTTAAAGGGAACCTGCCCATAGAATTCGCTATTTGGTCACATAACTGCCACCAGGAGGAACAGCGGTTTCTTTAGTAGGTAACTATTCAAGCTGCTATATCATATATTTTGTATACTGTTGCAGGACAGTCTTGATGTGAATGGCTTTACCCAAAGGGCCCCCCTTTAAAGTGCATCTCCAGTCAAACCTAAAGGCCCTCTTTATAATGTATCTCCAGTCACACCTAAAGGCCCTCTTTATAGTGTATCTCCAGTCATACCTAAAGGCCTCTTTATAGTGTATCTCTAGTCAAACCAAAAGGCCTCTTTATAGTGTATCTCTAGTCAACCCTAAAGGCCCGCTTTATAGTGTATCTCTAGTCAAACCTTAAGGCCTCTTTATAGTGTATCTCCAGTCAAACCTAAAGGCCCTCGTTAAAGTGTATATCCAGCCACACCTAAAGGCCATCTTAAAATGCATCTCTAGCCACACCTAAAGGCCCTCTTTATAGTGCATATCCAGCCAAACCTGAAGGCCCTCTTTAAAGGGCATCTCCAGCCAAACCTAAAGGCCCTCTTTAAAGTGCCTCTCCAGCCAAACCTAATGGTCCTCTTTAAAGGGCATCTCCAGCCAAACCTAAAGGCCCTCTTTAAAGGGCATCTCCAGTCAAACCTAAAGGCCCTCTTTAAAGTGCCTCTCCAGCCAAACCTAAAGGCCATCTTTTAAGGGCATCTCCAGCCAAGCCTAAAGGTCTTCTTTAAAGTGCATCTCCAGCCAAGCCTAAATGCCCTTTTTAAAGGGCATCTCCAGCCAAGCCTAAAGGCCCTCTTTAAAGGGCATCTCCAGCCAAGCATAAAGGCCCTCTTTAAAGGGCATCTCCAGCCAAACCTAAAGGCCATCTTTATAGTGTACAGCCACCCAAAACTTTTATGTGAATTTTACTCTTTGTAGAGTGGAAAGGTTAACATTAAACACTTGGCCAGTAACTTTCCTAGACGTCTCTTAATTGGTATTCCTTTCTCATCTCATTTGCCTGTAACTTTTTGAAACTCTGAACAACGTGCATCTCTTAGAATGCTGGTTAACATGAGGTCAATTGAAAGACGTGACAAACTTCTCAGTCTATCGAGCTGGTGGCTGCTTAATAATGGATGAGTTTTCTACAGAAATGTGAGAGCTTTATTTTCAGGCCAATCGATCCCTCAGTACCACCAGTGACTCGGTGGGCACCTTCATTTGTTATTAGTTGCTAAAAGAATTATTCACATATGAAAGTTTTATAAACCCCCGTCTTTCTCTTGTGTGCACAAGTCACCTCCGGATGGGAATTGAATCATTCACTAGAATGCTATTGGATATAACAAGACTTCCCTTGTTATTTTGATTGCAATGTACTGGAAAAGTTTGTGTTCCAGGCCAAGAGTAAGAGGAACTTCAGACATTTAGATAGTTATCCCAATTCAAGTGACGGATTGTGCAATGACTTAGATAATGCGATCTTCATCATAAGTCTTCATTAGTCAACAATACCAGTTTTGGCTGAGACTTAAGGTGAAAGGTCTCATTATCTAACTTACTGCACAACAGGTTGCTCAGTTGAGGAAAAATATCTGACTGCCCGAAGAGGCTGATGGGTTGAACCACCCATAGAGTTATCTAGTCCTTCCTCATCCTAAATGAACATCTCCTTCCTTTACTGGTGTTTTTGTGTGTGCTGGTGGTCACATCAAGACCAACCAAAGACCTGCTTCTCCTAAATATCAAACTTTAACAGCGTCAGAGATGAATAAAAGATATTCTGAAGATTTCATGTGGACCTTCATGTGGAGTAGATTGTGACAAGTGTCAGTTTCAAGACTGCAGAACACAATCATAAATCAGCAAAGCAGTTGGTTTTAGCACTGCGGAGTAGGTGCTATTTGATCCTGTGTTGACGCTTTCAATGCGGATAAGGTAAGTCCACTGATTAAAGGGTACATTAGGTCTTAGGGCTAAAGTGGTTAATATTAGGGTCAGGTTAAGGGTTAGGTTTTAGAGGGAGGTTAGTTGCTCAGGGGCTTGGATATCAGGATAGGTTTTAGGGTCCCTAGTTAA